GACTATGTTGGGCACAGCCGACTTCAAGATGATCGATTGTAGAGCCGCTGTGTCCCTCAAGATCTTCAATTTGAAACGTCCCTCCGGATTTGAACCGTTGGCAGAGACAGTTCCAGTATACAGGTGGTTACTGAAAAGAGAAAGATCATTAACATCAACACCAACATTCATCACAGGCTTACCGGACTTAGGAGGAGTTGGTTTGGGTCGTTGTTGGTCAGTGGTTCCCTTGTATTGAGACTTACCACACTTGTCTATGGTATGTCCATAGAGTCTACAATATTTGCAGTACAGTTGTGAACCAGCTTGATCGGGGCTCACCTTCTCGTAACTGTACCACGACTTCTTACTGGAGGATGGTTCAGGTGTCAGCCGGTGGATGAGGCTGTAAGTGTCAGCCGACTTAGCACACTTCAGGTAGTCGGTTTCTTCTTTATCTGCTAAGTAGAGGCGGACAGGAGGCGGCACACGTCTCAAGAATTCTTCAACAAGCATCAGGTTGACGAGTTCTGTAAAAGTAGAGACATGTGCTGCTTCCAGCCATTTCATGAAATACCTCCGTTTCGTGTTAGCAAACTCAAGGAAGGTAGTGGTACTTGCCTTCAGGTGGTCACGAAATTTCCTTCTATAACTTTCAGTAGAGAGGAGGTAGGCGTCCAACACTGCTTGTTTCAGAGTGTAGTAGTCATTCTCAGACGCCAAAGTACTGAGTGTGACTGCAGCTCTACCTGTAAGATGGACTCTGAGAAGTGTGGCCCATTGGTCGACAGGCCAACTGAGTTGATTAGCAAGGGTTTCAAAGGTGGTAAAGAACACATCAACTTCTGCTTCTACAAAGGATGGCATTAACTTACTTGCATGTGATATATTAAAACTGACGGGAAGATTGGCAGTAGCTTGCTGGCGTTGAGCGAGGTGTGAAGTTTCCAACGTGTATTCCCGTTGACGACACTCTAGAGCCAGAGTCGCTTGTTGCTTGTCATGTTCGCGTTGCATCTCCAACTCGCGTCGTTTGGTTTCAAGCTGTACTCGTTCCCGCTCCTGGAGTAGTGCAACCTCACGTTCCTGGAGGGCGAGTCCACGTTCGTGTTCTTCTCTCCTCAAGGCAGCTTCACGTTCTCTGAGGGTGATTTCTCGTTCTTGTTCCTCTCTTCGTATGGCAGCAGCTCGTTCTTGTTGTTCGAGGGCTTCCCTTTGCTGCTCACGTTCAATCTTGGCCAGCTCTAGTTTGAGTTTCAGCGTTGCCAAATCAGTTTTATCTGCAATATAGTAAGTTTCATGAGTTTCAGAGTCTATCTTACCTTGCTCTAAATAGTAATCCAGCAACAGGTTGTGTAGGTCATTTTTGTTGGCTTGGTAGGGAACTTCTAGTTGATACTCGTGTGCAAGAGTTTGTAGTTCAGTCCTCTTGGCACGACTCAAAGTCCCTATTTCACCTGCTGGATTTGCACGGAAAGTTTGGAGACGAAACATGGTGAAATTAGCAAATAAAGGTACACGAATGTTCAATAATGAAATGTCAGAAACAGGACAACGTGGCAACTGGTACCTATCCTGTGTGATCTTTAACAATTAACGTTAAGTGAAAGATATTAAATTAAATCAAGGGCGCAGGAAATCTTGTACCCGGTACTCATGTAAGAGAATAAGGGCAAGAAAATCCTACTAACAAATGAAACAAAGTTTCGAAAACAAATGAAACAGTTAAATGCTTCAAAAGTAAAATTGGTAGTCCAAGGATGTAGGCATACCTTGCCAAGTCTCTATAGGACATAAAGCAAGTTTTTCCTACTGAATTTAATATGATACTTACAGAATTAGCGAACTTTTGTGCTCTGAAAAAATAAGCTAATTCCCTACCGTTGTATGTATCATCATCTCTGACTGACGTGTAGGGGTGCGAGGTGTCAACTGGTGACGAGAACTGCTGCTGAGGTCCCAATTCAGCAACTAAAGTTCGAGCTAGAGGAACTATGGCCCTCTTTGTCCTCCTACAGTCAGATTGCAGAAGATTGGGTACTCTTGACCCGGGGCAGACCACAGTACCAGGGTACCAATATGATGATCTGTCAGAATGAGAAATAGTGTGTCTTGAGAAATTTATATCATAAAATGTGTGGAACATTGGGATAATGTACAGTACTCAAATATATTTGTACCATTAAAATTTGCACCATATTATATACTTAGAACAATAAGACACTTTTGTTTGTGCTGTTATTACACTGCAAACATACTTTTCTACATTTCCCTACAATTACAAACTAGTAAGCAGTTGTGGTGGGTGTAATAGTTGGGTAACCAGTTACCAGAGTTGAGCCTGGCTCTGCATCTTGCATGAAGTTATAACTGCACACATTGAAAATATATTTTCTTCATATTTTTAATGTTTTTACCATGGATGTTTGAAGTGGAGTGATGTATTGGGAGATTGTGTAGACTGTCATCAGTGCCTGGAGTTGTGTGTGTGCCTGCCGGAGAACAGAGCCAGGACCTGATCCCCTCAGAGAGGCACAGGGAGCAATGACCATTATGAGCATGCTACACTTAGAATATGTCATGTCTGCCAGCGGCCGGGGAGAGCACCCAGAAAGATAGGTGAATCGATACAAACCCCCAACTGGTAAAAATTACAACCCATGTCTGAACAGAGCCAAAGAACCCCCTCCCTCAAAAAAAAAAAAAAAAGCAAGCAAATCGTCGTTCAATTAGCGTGCCCGCTAGTTAGCCCCGCTCCCTCCTCTGATATCAAACTTGCCAACTGTCTCGGTTCCCCCATTCTCTGCTAGGTTATATTGCATTGCATATGTTATTTTTTAGAGGACATGGTTCCTCTTTTTCAAGGGAGGAAGTTACTGAATGTCAAATATCTCCTCTTCTCTCTCGGGGAATATTAAATCGAAATACAGTACTAGAACGAGTGGTTAGAAATCTGCGCACAGAAATAATACCACACGAGACCAGGAAGCATGGTAGGATATGTAAAATAATCCCATTAAAAAGCAGAGGTACAATTGGCATGCTTAGAGAGAACTTGAGCAACATTAAAGGTCTGTGACTTTTCAGCACACTCTCGACACAAACACAACTGGAACAACCTCTTGTGATACTTAACACTTTGACGCTTTGGGCGAGCGAGCATTTCTCCCACCCTAGTAGTTTTGGACGTTCCGCGGGAACTCGCGGGAGCGCGCGGTAATACTGAAAAGTGTATACTCTTTTCAACTTTGTTACCTTAATTCTTGTCCTAGGTTTTCCCATATGATATCAATGTGTTCGCAATAGAATTCTCTACACAATTAAATGCATATAAAGTCCGAAAGCCCAGCTTACCACCCGCAGCAAACAGAGAAAGTGAGAGAAAGTTACCTTATTTTTACCTTCTTATTTTTTTAAATTTGTCTAAAAGCAATTTGTGAAAATATTTTGAAGAAAGTTTCACGACAATGAAGCCAATAACTTGGTGATTTGTTTAACAATTTTAAGTTATTTATACATAATTTTAATATTTTTCACTACCGGGCCCCCAATATGTGCGATAATGTACGGTCTAAGGGTTAAGTGTGTTCTTACCTAGTATGTGTGTGTGTGTAATTACCTAAGTGTAGTTGCAGGATGAGAGCTACGCTCGTGGTGTTCCGTCTTCCCAGCACTCTCTCGTGTAATCATTTGAAATTACGGACAGTTTTGGCCTCCATCACCTCACCTAACTTGTTCCAACTGTCTTCAATTCTGTTTGTTAAAGTGAATTTTCTTGTATTCCTTCAGCAGCTTTGTTTAGTTAGTTTAAATCTATGACCTTTTGTTCTTAAAGTTCCGGGTCTCAGGATTTCTTCCCTATCAATTTGATCAGTTCCTGTTACTATTTTGTACATTGCAATCATATCACCTCTTTTTCTTCTATCTTCTAGTTTTGATATATTTAATGCCTTTAACTCTCCTCATAGCTCTTGTCCTTCAGTTCTGGGAGCCATGTAGTTGCATGTCGTTTTGCATGCCTCTGGGAACATCCAGTGCATGGGTTCAAACCCTCAGCAAGGCCCTTGTGGATCTGTTAAAGAGGATATTAATAAGGTGTCAAATATATAAACACGAAATTGAGCATAAAACGATGCAGGCAAATGGACGCGCACATGCATGAGTGCGTGCGTGTGCGTGCACGTGCACTCGCCTACTTGTGCTTGTGGGGGTTGAGCTCTGGCTTTTTAGTCCCGCCTCTCAACCGTCAATCAACTGGTGTACAGGTTCATGAGCCTATTGGGCTCTATCATATCTATATTTGAAACTGTTTATGGAGTCAGCCTCCACCACATCACTTCCTAGTGCATTCCACCTGTTAATTACTCTGACACTGAAAAAGTTCTTTCTAATGTCCCTGTAACACATTCCATGTGTGTGTGTTTATGTATATATGTAATGTATGTGTCTGTATGTATGTCTATATGTACTGATCAAAAAATTATGATACATGCTTTTTATTTGTAGTTTGTTGGTATGTTGGTTGTAATGATACTGTAATTGTCACACATCATGTGTCTTCTGGTAGATATCATTCTTATGATTAAGATTTTGCTTGGTAAAATTTGCCCACAGAGTTCAGGACAGGGAGGTTACTGTGTAATACATACTATGAACAGTAGTCCTTTAATGTTTTTTGGAGTGAGTTTTTGTTGTATTTTCCTAAATAACTTATTAAGGACAACCTTAGTAGGAGTCTTTTTAATGGGAATGCCTTAAAGGAGATATTTAAATTCAAGTTATCAAATAGGATATAATTTTGAGCGTTTCACTACCATTTTTGACTCGCCAGTACATTTGTTTTAATTTATTTGATGTGATGACTTGTCTCTAGGATAAAAGTGACCAGGGAAATGAACCACTAGGCAAATAAGGAATTTTTGTTTGAATATTTAGTGGTATGCATGTACAGAAAATGTGGAGGTTATATGGTTAAATACATGCTTGGTGATTGTATTTTCATACTCTTCTCATGCTTTCAGCAACAAACAGTAGTCAGTGGTATGCCTGGGGTCCTTCGCATCTACAGTGTCGTCTGTGTAATTCTTGCTGGCAATACTGGAAGAAGTTTGGTGGCCTCAAACTTCCATCACGAATTGGAAAAGAAGAAGGTGGGTGGGCACTGATCTATGACAATAGTGTATGGTAACTTTGGCAAATGATTTGGGTTATTTTACTCTGTAAATTATTGTTAGTTGATCATTGGTGATGCAGTACTACCTCATGCTAAACATAATGTAATTTATGGGAAGAAAGACAAGAGATAAGAAAGGACCTATTTCACATTTTATGGAGACTTAAGTATTTAAAGCAGCAGTCAGTTTAATCAATTCACATTAATAGTGTAAGAAATGTGCTGTGTTTGACCCTGAAATGGTGGTCAAAATTCCAGTAGAGTACTGCTTGTGAGCTTTGTAGAGAAGATTCCTTGCCAGACTGTTGCTGTGGTGCAAAGTTTAGTATGTGAAGGGAGTACTGTAAAGTATTTAAGGTGTCATAATGCGTACATTATGTTGCATGATGAGTAAATAACCAATAGTGTTCAATATTAACTTCAAACTAACCCTTTTCTATGATGCTTTAACATGCAATTATCCTAGAGTAGTATATACACACAGGCTCATCATATTTTTGGCTAAGATCACTTATATCAAGTATAAACCACAGAGTCTTGTTGGCTAGAGGTATCATAGCAAAATTTCAATTACTTGGCTGATTTAATCTTTAGATGAGTTTCCTAGAAACTTATTCTTTGAAATTTGTCATTTGATTTATTGTATGAGTGGAGCCAAGTTATGCTAATAATGTGCACAAGTCAGACTAAAAGTAGACCTAATAATGTTAGTTGTTTATTTTTGTGTCATTTGAAGCCATTCAATAACATGTTGGGAGCTTAGCTGCAGTTGACTCTCTAGTCTCATCTTATGATCTTGTGTTTTAGATCTTTCCCTCAGTTTACTGCTACAACATGTTCACTGTTTGATCGCATTATTGATTTTGAAATTGTGGACGTGTCAAATGTTGGTATCATTTGTCATCTTGGCTTTTGTGGTTTGTTGATCTCGGTTTAGAAAGTGTTTGTGGCACACTGTGCCGAGGGACGCCTCCAAATAAAGGTGTGTATCAGTGCATCCGCTACTCCCTAATTGACACCCTAACCTTGGTCCCTCTCTCCAACCACCATAGCTGATATTGACAGTGAAAGTGGAAGACAAAGTGCTGATATATTTGGGGAAGGTGAGCCGGTCTTCCTCTGTGCATGTTTGTCACTTGTTACCTGGTGATGAGTATTGCCATCTCTTCTTTAATGACCCCATGTTATACATTTTACAACCACACAGTTTCTTCACTTATTTGAATTGTCACAGGCTTGGTTATGGCCTTCATAGATGGTATTACCTCTAAAGTATTGTTATTCAGTGAGTAATTAAGATGGAAATTGCTAATGATATTGGAAGTATTCATGTAATTTGAGTTTCTTGCTGTAAATGCATCATAACATTCATGGTGATGAATACATCGCCACCTTCCGGTAGGTGATGAATACATCGCCACCTTCCGGTAGGTGATGAATGCATCGCCACCTTCCGGTAGGTGATGAATACATCGCCACCTTCCGGTAGGGGATGGATGCATCGCCACCTTCCGGTAGGTGATGAATACATCACCACCTTCCAGTAGGGGATGGATGCATCGCCACCTTCCGGTAGGGGATGGATGCATCACCACCTTCCGGTAGGTGATGAATACATCGCCACCTTCCGGTAGGGGATGGATGTATCACCACCTTCCGGTAGGTGATGAATACATCACCACCTTCCAGTAGGGGATGGATGCATCGCCACCTTCCGGTAGGGGATGGATGCATCACCACCTTCCAGTAGGTGATGAATGCATCGCCACCTTCCGGTAGGTGATGAATACATCGCCACCTTCCGGTAGGGGATGGATGCATCACCACCTTCCGGTAGGTGATGAATACATCGCCACCTTCCGGTAGGGGATGGATGCATCGCCACCTTCCGGTAGGGGATGGATGCATTGCCACCTTCCGGTAGGTGATGAATACATCACCACCTTCCGGTAGGGGATGGATGCATCGCCACCTTCCGGTAGGTGATGAATACATCACCACCTTCCAGTAGGGGATGGATGCATCGCCACCTTCCGGTAGGGGATGGATGCATCACCACCTTCCGGTAGGTGATGAATACATCGCCACCTTCCGGTAGGTGATGAATACATCGCCACCTTCCGGTAGGGGATGGATGCATCACCACCTTCCGGTAGGTGATGAATACATCGCCACCTTCCAGTAGGGGATGGATGCATCGCCACCTTCCGGTAGGTGATGAATACATCACCACCTTCCGGTAGGGGATGGATGCATCGCCACCTTCCGGTAGGTGATGAATACATCGCCACCTTCCAGTAGATAATGGCAAGAGTGTTTTTCATAGTGTTGTTAAGATGTATTAAACTGTAATATTGCACTTTACTTCCATTAATAGTAAGCACATTTGTAATGTTGTGAATGTAAACAGAATATGGTGATCAGCTGTGCTAGTCTTGAGTTAATGTAGCCTCTTCATAATTTTAGATGGAGCATATCTCCCTATAATCTACGTAATTATAGCATTTTTTATGTTTTGATGAAAGTAGTAAGGAAAGAAGGAAGTACAGTACTTAGTTATTAGATGTAAGACATGTAATTTGTGAATTTTCGTGTCCAAAATAATCTCAATTATGACTGCGGTGCTGTTTGCTAGGCTTAGGCTCTTTTGTCTTGTTAATAAATAGCATAACATTTTATTGTGGAGCAGCTTTCTTGAGCACTGATCTTCTTTTTGAAGGTCATACATGATTAGTGTAAAAGTAGAGTATTTTAAACATACCTAATTTATGGAGTTGGATGACCAAGGAGTTAGCTAATGTATTTAGTCAAGTATCTGGTGGCAGAAGGTAATGTTTGCTATGTTCTAGATGTTTATGTTCCATCAGACCTCTTGATATGTATACATGCCTCTTGTGCCCCTCTTACCCTCCCCCTCCCCCTTCTCTCTCACTCCTTCCTACCCCCTCCTTCACACCTCTCTTCCCCCCCTCCCCCTCCCTTAATCCTCCCACCCTCCCCCCCTCTAATACAGCTCCCTCCCCTTCCCCTCTCAATCCTCCCTCCCCTCTCCTCCCCCTCCCCCCTTCACACACTTTCCCCTGTTCCTTTCTCCCTTCACATATATCCTCTGGTTCTCCTTCCCTTCCTTTATTCCCCCCTCCCCCCTCTCCTTCCCCTATTCCCTCTCACTCTACTTTCCTTATTTCTTGCTTTCCCCCTTCTCCCTTTTTCCCCTTATCTCCTCACTCTTGTTCCCTTCTCCCCTCTCCCAGTACCTCATGAGAAGCTATGTAGGAAGGTAGAAGTGTGTGGCATCGGAGGAAAGATGCTAAACTGGATCAGACCCTGGCTGAAAGGCAGAAAAATGGACAGCCAACATAAATGGCATGAAATCAGAGTGGGTGGATGTTGCAGTGTGTCCTACACACACGCCTCTATTAGTCCCCCAATTTTTCAGTTGGAATCAATGACCGATACCGGAGTGGCTAGTGTGTGTGTGTGTGTGTGTGTGTGGACGACACAAAGACAGGGCACGTAGTGAATACAACACAAGACACTGGCGAACTGCAAAGAGCCTTAACCTTCAGTGGTCTCGGTAAAAATGGCAATATAATTTTAATGTTCAGTGCAAATTCCTTAACATTAGAAGGGACAGCAGATGAAGAGTCACAATTACGCAGCTGAAGATATGATGACCAAACCACCCATCAAATTATGAAGAAATGACGTCGTCTCGATTCGTCCTGGACCATTATCAACTTGTGGTATGACACGATTTAATAATGGTTCAGGACGGACCGGAACGTCGTAATTTTCTGATTTTCTGATGTGTAGTTTGGTATCAAGGATTAGCAATGCTAATTCCACATCAATAATGCAGTCATGGATAGATCAAATTTTAAAACCTTCACTTTCTAATGAAGCATTTTAGCGCTATTGGTACTCTGACAGTCAACATTCAGATGACGCTAAACTGCATCATCCGATTACTATTCATGAACGTTCATATATTCATTGCTGTTACACATAATTTCTCATAAATACAGTTTTGTTTTTGCATCTATTCTGTAGAGAATTCATTTCCAAAATTTGGCAACAAAGTTAGTTATAATCCAAGAAATAACAGGAAACGTGAAATGACTGTAAACATTTTAAGCATCGCTAAACGGGATCCGCCGAACGCATTAGGTTTACCTTCTACAACGTGTAGAGATGGCCAAAATCTATTTATACAATACTCTTTTAATTTTGCATCTGTTCTCTGGACCAGCATTTTTCAAACTTTCATTTTTTACTGTGACCCCCAGCAAGATGTGCATATTGTATTGCCACCACCTGTGTGTGTCTGTAACACATCACACACACACTCTGAATGATGGTCCTCTTTACTGTGACCCCCAGCAAGATGTGCATATTGTATTGCCACCACCTGTGTGTGTCTGTAACACATCACACACACACTCTGAATGATGGTCCTCTTTACTGTGACCCCCAGCAAGATGTGCATATTGTATTGCCACCACCTGTGTGTGTCTGTAACACATCACACACACACTCTGAATGATGGTCCTCTTTACTGTGACCCCCAGCAAGATGTGCATATTGTATTGCCACCACCTGTGTGTGTGTAACATATCGCACACACACTCTGAATGATGTTCCTTTATTTACTGGTGGGATACATGCAATTGGCATGAAATTCTAGCAGAGACAGTAAAACTATTAAAAAATAAGTTTTCATTTAATGAGAAGGATGTGTTTGTTTGTTTGTAAGTAGTTGCTTCCAACTTGGAAAATGGGAAGACAGAGCTATACACACCCCTGGTGCAGTGTCAAGATAACCTTTTTGCTCAAAAGTGAGAATTCCCCTTTAACCTTAATCCAAAATGTTGACAAATTGCTTAAAATCATTCTTCAGTGTAAGTGAACTAATAAGATGGGTATTATCAGTTCTGTAAATTGCAGTGATGAGTAATGAGTGCAAATGAGTTTGTTGCTTTCACCCTCTAATTTTTTGTGGATTTTTTTCATTGTCTTGGCTCATTTTAGTTATTTTGCTTCCCACAAAATTGGTCGGTACTCACAGTTTAAAAAAACTTGCACTAGACAATTCATTTGCAAACATTTTTTACACCAAATTTATTGTTATGACTCAACAAATAAGTTAGAAAACGTTAAATGATTGTAAACATTTTCACGATGTCGAGTGATTTCGGGCCTGGCTCGGGGAGTAGAAGACCTCCCAAAATCCTCTTCAGGTTTCCACTAGCCCCGAGTCGCCTGTGGAGCCCAGAACGATTACCATTGGGACTGTTGAGAGAGACTTGGGAGTCGTGCGTGGACAGCAGTGACTTGAAACCACAAGATCAATCCATGAAATAAAGCAAATGGGATGCATGAGAAGCAACAGAAACATGAAGATCATCCTTCAGCACTAGTAATGCCTCATTTGGACTGTGCTGTTCAATTCTGGTCACTGTGCTACAGCATGGACACAGACTATAGAGAAAATAAAGAGAAGGCCTGGTATTGCAGCCCATTAGCATGAAGACGGAACGGAGATAGGTCGAAGTATCTCGGTCGACGCACGACTAGATGGAGTATGATCGAGATTTTTAAGAGGGTCGAGGGCATAAACACGGGGGATTTAAGTAAGGTTCTGAAACTGTAGGAACAGGTCAGAACTCACAACAATGGATACAAGCTGTATAAATGTTGTTTTACAAGGAGTGTAAGAAGTTCTGTTTTGAAAGAGAGTTGTGGCTAAATGAAATGGGTTGTCGGCCAGTGTTGAGACAAATACTGTGTGTAAGTGAGAGAGGATAAATTGTTGTCGGCCAGTGTTGAGACAAATACTGTATGTAAGTGAGAGAGGATAAATTGTTGTCGGCCAGTGTTGAGACAAATACTGTGTGTAAGTGAGAGAGGATAAATTGTTGTCGGCCAGTGTTGAGACAAATACTGTATGTAAGTGAGAGAGGATAAATTGTAATGGGCCTTGCATAGTATGGGACCTGTTATGTTGTCCTCTGATTCTTGTGTTCACATTGTCTTTCCCTTTCACCCTCCTTCCCCTTGTTTCCCTCCCCTCTCTCCTTCCCCTTGCTTCCCTCCCCTCTCCGTTCCCTTGCCCCCTCCCCTCTTTCCCTTGCCCCCTCCCCTTCTTTCCCTTGGCCCCCCCCCCCCTCCTTTGCTTCCCTTCTCATTCCCCTACCTCCTCCTCTCTTACCTCCTTCCCTTTCGTTTCCTTTCCCTTTCATGCCTCCCATCTCGCTCCCCCGCCTCCTCTCTCTCTCTGCTGGGAGTAGGACGTCGTCCTGCGGGTGAGAGGGTAGGAGGTCTTCCTGTGGATTTTCAGATGATGTTAGGACATGCAGTTGGAGTGGTGATGAATGGATTGCATATATAAAGGTGTGATGGTTGGACATGGTGGTGTGTGAAGGTGTGATGGTTGGACATGGTGGTGTGTGTGAAGGTGTGATGGTTGGACATGGTGGTGTGTATGAAGATGTGTCATACCCATCATGGAGACATGGGGTATGCTAGAACATTACCCTATCAATTGATATGGGTATAGTAGTCCTCGGTGTCAAGATGGGATGTTCAATGCTATTTGAACATTGAGGAATGTATTAAGATTTAGAGGATTGCATATGGAGTAGGTACTGTGATAGGTGGAGAAACAGGGCAGGCTTGAACATTATGAACACAGAGTATGCTGGCATGTGTGTGTGTGTGTGTGTGTGTTGATCATGAAGGAGAGTTGTGTGGTGTGATGAAGCATCAGAGGGATACAGTATGCTGGCATGTGTGTGTGTGTGTGTGTGTGTTGATCATGAAGGAGAGTTGTGTGGTGTGATGAAGCATCAGAGGGATACAGTATACTGGCATGTGTGTGTGTGTGTGTGTTGATCATGAAGGAGAGTTGTGTGGTGTGATGAAGCATCAGAGGGATACAGTATACTGGCATGTGTGTGTGTGTGTGTGTTGATCTTGAAGGAGAGTTGTGTGGTGTGATGAAGCATCAGAGGGAAACAGTATACTGGCATGTGTGTGTGTGTGTTGATCTTGAAGGAGAGTTGTGTGGTGTGATGAAGCATCAGAGGGATACAGTATACTGGCATGTGTGTGTGTGTGTGTGTGTGTGTGTGTGTGTGTGTGTGTGTGTGTGTGTGTGTTGATCTTGAAGGAGAGTTGTGTGGTGTGATGAAGCATCAGAGGGATACAAAGTGTACAAGATTAGTGTTATAGGAACTTCTGGGCTAGCTATTAAGTTAACAAATCTGGCCCATAAATTGTGGGTTCAGATTCTACAGGTTAAGAATTACATATTTTAGAATCATAATATATCATGTGGCATAATAACGAGTTAATTAAGGATTTCAAATAATACGGAACACAAATTTGAGCATTTCAGAAACTAGAATACTTTGGTGTGTGTGTTTGCAAGGTGTGGAAGAATGGTTATCTTGAGATCCTGAGAGGATTTCGGGGATTAGCATCCCGGTGGCCAGGTACTCGACCAGGCCTTCTTTCTGTACCCCCCCCCCCCTAGGAAGCAGCCCGTAGCAGCTGTCCATCTCCCAGGTACTTATTTACTGCTAGGTAACAGGGGTATCAGAGTGAAATAAAGTCTGGCCATTTGTTTCTACCTCCACCGTGTGTGTTATTGCATGTTGTAGATAGTGGTGGTTGCATGGTTTGTTGGGGGAGAGTTTAGAGGTGTGTGGTGGTGGTGGTACGGTGTGTTGAGGGGAAGTTTCAGGTGTGTGTGTGCATGGTGTGTGGTGGTGGTGGTGTGGTGTGTGTTGAGGGGAAGTTTCAGGTGTGTACGCGCATGGTGTGTGGTGGTGGTGGTGTGGTGTGTTGAGGGGAAGTTTCAGGTGTGTGTGTGCATGGTGTGTGGTGGTGGTGGTGTGGTGTGTGTTGAGGGGAAGTTTCAGGTGTGTACGCGCATGGTGTGTGGTGGTGGTGGTGGTGGTATGGTGTTTGTGTGTAGTTAGGCAGGAGTGCCATGGTGTGTGTGTGTGTGGGGGGAGGGGGGAGATTAGCATTGAGAAGTGTGTCTTGAATATGTGATCACTGGAGCAATTGTAAACATTCTGGAGTGAGCAAAAGGCAAGGTAAAATATAGCAGTTCTAATGTGAATGCAATTTCATGAGTGAGGTCTAAATAATGTAATAGGAGCAATTGCCAGATTTTTTTTTTTACAATTTATATAATTGATATAATGTTTCTATCCTTATTTGTTGCTATTAAATAGGACTAGCTATCTCCTTGGAATAATAAATGATGTTAGTCAATACAGAAGGTAGTGACATGGAAAGAGTTGACATTTGTGCTCTCCTCGATCAGTCCCAGTAATAATGTTGATAATGCAATTGACTTGTAAGTTAATGTTGATATTGACAAATACTTGGCTTTGCCCTGAGTGGTCTAATGCTAGACATGCCAAGTTTGCTGGCCCTGGCCGAGACAATATTGTATCTCGCAAGTACTGTTTATCCTTCTTCGCAATGATTACTTTGTCTTAGATAAGAGGTGTTGATATTTAGTTGTTGTTGTATTTTTCCTTTTAGTTTTGCACTTATAATGTTGTATCTTAATATAACATTAACATTGCTGCTACTGTAGTCAAGCTGTTGCAGTACAAGAATGTATAATGCTTCACTGCAAGTTAATTGTCAACAATGAGTTGTTGCACGAACAAATTTGCCGTATTGCATTTGTTACAATTTTTTTTAACCTTATTTTACCTGTTTAGGCTGTGTAAATTTTGTTGCCCCATTATTTATAAAGGTATTTCTATCCATTTTAGTTTTGATGGCGTGCTACCAGTAAATGCCTCGCTCTAGCAATAGGCTTTTATATTCACTTTTATTTTCCTTTAGAACTTGCATTTCTACTGTATAATTTATAGAGTTCATATTTACATTTTAGTTATAATTATAGATAATTTCAATACTAAAACAGTAGTTATGGTTTATTTTTATTGTTATTTCAGTATCAGTGATATGTCAGTGACATTAACTTTGATAACGTGTCCAGTTTCTTTATATTTTTATATTCATTTATATACTGAAACAATTCAAGTGATGCTAAAAATTTCGAGCCAAAAAAAAATAACAAAAAAAGTGCGCTGTTGTAAAAAGCTTGTAATGTTTTGTAATAAAGAGCTGTTTAGAAGACATTTTAGGTTCTGAACTCTGAAGGGAAACGAGCACTCGACGAGTTTGAGCGCTAGCCTCGGGTAGGAGCATCGTCAATTGATGTACATAGAATACTGTAGCACATGTAGGCAAATGTGTACACTATTGCGGTTTACTAGTTGTCACCAGTTGTTAAAGAAGTAGCAAGCCTCAGCCAGCAGTGGATGTACCAGTCAGTCATCCTTGGATTACAGTGTGATAACTCTGAAAATAATGAATGGATGTTCTGCAAGATACGAATTCAAATCTTGAAAATGAAATTTGCGAGCACGATAATAAGAAAAAGAAAAGATTGGAGTGGTTTACTGCCTCAAGTGTGCAGTGTTGCAGTGGATCCTAGACAGTAATGGTTCTGTGGCATATTAGTGGATAAAGAATGGATGGAACAATTAAAGTGACGATAGAAATATAAGAAGTTTGTAAGTTTTTTATATAAATATAAATAATTATAAGAAAATATTAAGAATTGCATATTTGGTGTGGTCAGGAGTAAGAACAGGCGTTTTACTTTCCAGAACGACTGCACAGTGGTGGCAGTCGTTCACAGAGGTGTAATGTGGGTGGGTGTGGCCGGGAGTACAAGACACGCTCGCAGTTAATACGTCATGCTGCCCAGGCTCATGGTGTTGCCCTTCGAGCTGGTTCACCAAGACCCATCATGAAAACAAGGGCTGCCATCATGGTCCATACTAGCCTTCCCATTCGTGTCATGCGACGACTTTGTGAAGATTTAATCCAACCTAGGAAGGCTAGCCGCAATCCAACGTGGCCCGTAAATGCTGCTAATATCCGACAAGAGAGTAAGTTATGTGCCAGGACGTTCTGAATTGAAATAATTTGTGGAAAAGTTGGCAATAATGTTAAATGATGAGCATCATTAGCTTAGCAGTTGTGAAAATAGATATTAGCCTGAAATCCTGAGAGATGGGTTTTAGCATATAATGAATGCATGGGCCACTATATGGATAACGTTTCAGGTCTCCTGCGCATGGGTGGGAAATCCTTTGATGATTTTGCATACCTGGTGAAGCGTGGGACGGGGCGGCGACGAGGGAGAGTGTCTCAGGTGTCAATCCGCTTAGGTCAGAAGAACTCTGCTTGCCCTGCCTGGATGCTCCCTACGGACAAGTCGCTCCTACCCAAACAACCCCACATTGCATTCCCAAAACCTCCCAAGGGACCAGGTTGGTTTGTTGATCACACACTATGGGTTTCAACATTATTTTAATTTAATTTTGGAGTCATATGTTGAATTCCCCTTATTGCCTAATTCATTAATGACGGCAAAGAGCTGTCAGTCATGGTGGTTGGAGAGAATCGGCAAAGGTCCTTCAAGGTAGTGGTTGATACTTCGATCATGGCTTACACCACACCCAAATCTTGTAGTCTGTGGCTTGTTTAATGAGTTGTCATGTTCAAGTTGCAGCTTGAAGGGCTTCTGCATATTTGTGACTATGGGAAGGTTTTTTGTTATATGTTTCTCTAATTGCTGCTTTGCTGAAGGTTCTTTTAGGTACCTATGTGAATCCTGCTTATTACTCGTAAGTTTCATAGGTTTTGTGGTATCCTAATGACATAATGAAATGGTATACAGAAGCTTTGACTTTTTCAGATGGCAGTTTGATATACACACCAGTACCCAACAAGGAGCTTCCTGTGGTAAATAATACTTCCCCGAGTCTTCTAAAAAGGAGGGCATACGAAGAGACCAATGGCTTGGACGGTAAGTGTTTTTCACAGTTACTGTATTACATGTATAATAATTGATGATAGCGAGAAGGTTTAGCCTGTGTGGAGTGCGAGAGCGGGCAGTATAGTTGGTACACATCCAACTGGTTGTAAATATTCACTAACTTGTCAACACTTGACTTTGTTTATCCCGTTTTAGATCTTTTTCCGAGTAAATAATTTTGCCTTCGGCACATGTTCATAGTAGGACATTTGTTTGTATGTTGCTGATTATTTTGTATAGATATAGTTAGTAATTAACAATATTATTATTATTATTATTCATTTTGCTTTGTTTTTAAGGTGAAGTGTTATTTAAGATTAATATTGCCCACTCATGATAGGGTACTTATATCTACATGACAATAAGAGTAGGCAATGCTCACACATACCTCTTTGCTTGTGTATTCCTCTTGGTCTTCCTGTGAAGAAGTAAACTGTATACAAAGGTAAAGGAAAGGCAGATTCAGTTACTGATGAAAACTTAGTCTACAAGTAGGTTATTTAAGAGGTCAAAAGCAATGTTAGTATACTAAATATAGTGTGTATCAAATGTAATTCTCAAAAATTTAGTGTGGAAAATTTTGCACAAGTGTGTGGAGTTTTATAGTAGAATTTGTGTTTTATATTTGTTAACAATTGTCAGAGAGATTGAAAGCATTATTGGGATACCTCAAGATTTGCTGTTAAGATCTCATCTAAACTAAGACATCAATACATTGCAATTAAAGATAAAAGCAGTGGTGACTTACCTGTTTAGACCAAATTAGAGCTCAATTGCAATATATGTTAACACAATAATTAAACTGTGTGTGCATTGGTGTGCATCCAAGCAAGCTCAGACATCCTTACTTTCTTTCCTGTCTCATCTTCTCTCTCAACACATTCATGAATTAGGTATTGACAAAATATTGTATGTCAATTATTTTCATATTAAAAGTCTCTGTCCTTCACTGTGGATTTTTCCCCGAAACTTGACAGCTGTCTACACAATTCAACTGTGTCATTTGAAACTTTCTTTGTATGATCACACTGATCCTGTAGTCTCTCTCAGTTTGATTAATTTAATACTTGTTAAATTTTATTTATTATTTGCTCTTTCATCTCTCTTTTTCATTAGTCTTTGACTTAAAAATATTTCTTTAGTTGCTAGTACAGCGTTAGCTCGGTTCAAAGAAGCTCATTTCGGCAAATTCCTTGTTGCAATGCACACTTCCAGGCCAGATTTACTTACCTTCTTCATCAAACTCTTGTTCAGCAAGGCAGGGACAGTGCAGGTTTGCTTACCATGTTGGACCAGGGTTCAGAGACTGGTGGGAAAGTTGCCCATCACATGATAGCTTAAATTAATATTTCGCTCGGTAAAATTTGCCCATAGAGTGTGGACAAGATTAGGGTGTGAATGATGACTCCCTTAATATGGCCCCAAATCATGATTTTAATTTTATTAGATGAATGCAACATGGTAAGGAGCTTTGGGAAAGCCATTGAGAATATTTAAAACAAAATGTTCTAGCTTCAGTTTTGAGTTGTTGTGACTTTCATTCCCTTAAATATGGACTGGTCTTCCTTTGAAAGTGAGGTAATGGGGCCGGCATATGAGACACGTGCTAGATGAGGTGAAATCTCCTTCTATAAAGGTTCTCTTGGTAGTTGTCCTTCACATGCTAGTTTTAAATTACAATTTTGCTCAGGGTATGAATGGTAGCTCCCTTAATGTGGCTCTACTCACATTTTTAAATGATTTTTATGAATGGACATAAAATTGTAAGACAAAGTTGGAGCCTTGGTAAAGTCAAAGAGCATATTTAAAACCATCTTCCATGCTTAGATTTTAATTTAGCGTTGTTGTAAGTTTCATTCTCTTAACCCTCAAAATACGGTTATCATCATGTTAGTTCATGGGGGTAATGCAGTTATCATCATGTTGATTCATGGGGTAATGCAGTTATCATGTTGATTCATGGGGTAATGCAGTTATCTTGTTGATTCATGGGGTAATGCAGTTATGTTGGTTCATGGGGTAATGCAGTTATCATCATGTTGATTCATGGGGTAATGCAGTTATCATGTTGGTTTATGGGGGGTAATGCAGTTATCATGTTGGTTCATGGGGTAATGCAGTTATCATGTTGGTTTATGGGGGTAATGCTGTTATCATCATACTTTGATGTAAACTATTATGTGGGTTTTACACCAATAATACTAATACGGATATCCTGTAATAGCTTCATATGGATGTAGTGGTGCTTACCTTGACCAGCAGCATAGGAAGTGCTCCGGGGTCATTAGCCTCAGCCGGCTGGTGGAGCGCCGAGTGTTGAAGCTCTCGGGGGTCATTAGCCTCAGCCGGCTGGTGGAGCGCCGAGTGTTGAAGCTCTCAGGGGTCACTAGCCTCAGCCGGCTCGTGGAGCGCCGAGTGTTGAAGCTCTCGGGGGTCACTAGCCTCAGCCGGCTCGTGGAGCGCCGAGTGTTGAAGCGCTCGGGGGTTACTAGCCTCAGCCGGCTCGTGGAGCGCCGAGTGTTGAAGCTCTCGGGGGTCACTAGCCTCAGCCGGCTCGTGGAGCGCCGAGTGTTGAAGCTCTCGGGGGTCACTAGCCTCAGCTGGCTCGTGGAGCGCCGAGTGTTGAAGCTCTCGGGGGTTACTAGCCTCAGCCGGCTCGTGGAGCGCCGAGTGTTGAAGCTCTCGGGGGTCACTAGCCTCAGCCGGCTCGTGGAGCGCCGAGTGTTGAAGCTCTCGGGGGTCACTAGCCTCAGCTGGCTCGTGGAGCGCCGAGTGTTGAAGCTCTCGGGGGTCACTAGCCTCAGCCGGCTGGTGGAGCGCCGAGTGTTGAAGCTCTCGGGGGGTCACTAGCCTCAGCCGGCTCGTGGAGCGCCGAGTGTTGAAGCTCTCGGGGGTCACTAGCCTCAGCCGGCTCGTGGAGCGCCGAGTGTTGAAGCGCTCGGGGGTTACTAGCTTCAGCTGGCTCGTGGAGCACCATTAGCTCTGAAATAAATTTTTTCATAATTATTTCAATGTCTCATTCATTTTTTCTATAGTTTTCTGTGGGGAGCCCCTACGGCTCCCTGGAGCTTATCGGGCTAATGTATGTTATATTAGATTGGGACATTAGCTATGGAGTTCAGACCTAGGGTTGGATGGGGGTTTTCCTTATCTGCCATCGACCGGGGTTAGGCACCCAGAAAGGTAGGCATAACAAAACAAACCCCACATGGTAAAAAATTAACAACAAAAACCGAACAGAGAGGTAGAACTCCATACAATCCTAAGCAAACGTAACACACTACTGCCGTGCTGCTCGTCTGCGCAGCCTCCCACTCCCCGAGAGGGGGAGGGGGGTCCAGACCTCACCGCGCCGGCTGCATAGCACTCCAGTTCATAAGCTAATGTCAACTGGGACAGACGCTTCTGTGGCCTCAGTTTCCTAGGAGGTGTTTGCCTTCATTGCGCTCACTGCAGTATTGTTGTGTTGTGCGGTGACCAGGTGTTCCTCGTGAGTACCGCGCTTAGAAGCTTCCTTCCCTAAGCGCCCTGTGAGTACTGCCCCTGCCTGACAGGGTTATCTTCCCTGGGGTTTTTGGGAACCATTCTCATAGAGGTTCTTGCTGCTTGGCTTTTGCCTCGCCCTTGGGGCCCTTGTTTGGCCTTTGGTTGGGACTGGTATTGTGCTGGTTAGGGCATCAAGGTGTTGCGCAACCTGCTACCTACGTGGCAGCCGGTTCCTGTTGCCTCTGGGGACGGTGTACTTTTGCAGGATTTTTCTTTTGTTTTTATTTTCATTTGCCTGATGGGGGTCTGCCCAGTGTGGCTATAGTTCCACTGGTAGTGTCTGGTGGCCCTCTGCAACTCCCCCGTGATTGTACACATCGCAGGGGTTTTCAGTGTTGGCATCTACCTCTTGTTAGCTTGGGTGTTAATAGGTTAGCAACACCTTGCCCTGGCTTCCCGTAGCAGTCAGCCTACAGGCCCTGGAAAACCCTGTCGAGGCTCGATGGACCAGTGGATGTGTCTTCCGGGTTCCAACCCGTCTTGTGCGGGTTTGTTGGTTGCTGTGTCCTTGTATCCGGGTGACAGTCGCCACATTTACCTCCGTCATGCTGCATGTTGAGTCACTGATACCTTGCCCCGCTTGCGAGTTGTTCTCTGCTTGTTCTCCAGTACTCTCCTGATGTTCTTACTGTTCAGAGTACAGGCGGCATCTGGGTTGCAAGCTCTGTTTAGGGTGCTGCATCGCGCTAGGTTGGTTTCCCACCCAGATGCCCCGGGACAGCCCCGTACATTTTATACTGAATACAATTTTTTTCTCTAACTACAATACAGTACATATGTTTATCTTATTTTTATGGAGGACTCTTGATGCGTATGGAAGATGGTGAGGAGGGGGGAGGAAGAAAAGTGTTACTGTTTGGAAGGGGAGTCTCTTTCCATTATAACATTAGCAGTGATGACTTCTCTGGGGGTACTCTATCTCTCTCCTACGTTTTGCCTGCATACCACTAGGACCTGGTTGTGATTCACCCGATGACAAACATGCTTGTTTGTCTCACTAAAAGACAAACCTTGTTTGTTGCCGAGATTTTTTTTTTCCATAAGTTTTAATTTTTGTCTGTAGTGAGGCATCACAGTGTCATTAAAAAGGTTATGGCAATGGCCTACTGCACCATGATTTGGGTGAGTCTTTTCAGCCAAAGTTTGCAATTCTTCCCATGTTGCACACATTTTCTTAATTAAGGAGGAAGGGACATTCTGTACTGTCTCCTCCCCTGAAGAAATTTCCTCGGCTGTCTCTTATTGCTGCTCCTTGTGAAGTTCTTTGGTGGTCAGTTCTTCGCTGTGTTCCTCCACCAGCTCGCAACACACAACACTCACAACACTGTGAATGCCACTTCTTTTTCTAAATTTCTCAAACCATCCCCTGCTCGCCTTAAACTCTTTCTCATTTGCATCACTCGTTCCAGGGGGTTTCTTTAAAAGGTCTTCATACAATTTCCTTG